ATCGGTGTTCAAAAGAAACCACGGCTGTGGAGGACAACGACAGTCCTGCAGACAAGGATATAGTGCCACGACTCCCACCAGGAAAGCTCAAAAGTCTAAAGCGAGTCAGCGATGTGTATATAATGATACTGGGAACAAAAAAACACTGCTCGACAACAAGGCAGCAGCAACGAGAATGACAGATATCTTCACAGGAATAAAACAAACAACCACACTGCGCGCTGCACATCCACACAACATACTTCCAAATATCGAGCCACTGATTCCACCTGAAGAGTCTAATGGTGACAGGCGACGCGGTCGACAGCAGATCGATTGCCAACTTGGGGAGATCACGAATTCGACAGGCATCTCGAACATGCAGAGAGTACAGTCACATCGCAGGCTGGTACCAAAATTTACCCCAACCATGGTAATAAAAAATGGGCCAAATTTTATCCCGATAATCCGATACCAACGGAAATAAAAGTTCATCCTGTCTCATTGTTTTAGGAATTACTCTTTCTTGATCGGCTCTCAAGTCAGATATGGCCATCTTACGACACTTACTACTGGATAAAGGTATGCCGAGTTGTGACACCCGGCATACAGGAGCTGTACACAAAGTTGCTTCAGGCATCTCGTACAGACTTCAAGAACAGAGTAGTTGTCCGGCATGTACCAGTCAAAGCCACGACCATGCAGGCCGTCCATTCACGAGAAATTCATGACTCTATGTATATACCGTGGCGAAGAAATATGAGAGACCAGAAGTGGGACGCTGGCCAGAAACTTCGTTTTATTCGTCACAGTGATATCAACCATGGCTATGAGAGTTGCCAATATAGTTTTGCCTTCGATGGCGGATATGGTCATCAGCAAATCCCGGATGCTTCACCATACATCACCATCAGCAAATACTGCGAATTTCACACCATCAAGTCGTACCGAGAAGTCATCCCTAGGGAGGAATGGCGAAACGATATGATACAGTTCTTACGTGCATAGTTTCTACTAGTATCATCAATACAGCACAAGAGATATCGAAATGTTAGAGTGCAATGTAGTAGACATTTATGACCTCACCTTTGGTTTCATACCTAAGGTGTTTGTGCTAGTGTTCAGCCCCTCGGACTGGCCAGGGTAAAAACTCATATGGTCAGTATGAGAAACCTTGTGCAGAACACTATAACACTTCGATGCTATTCTATTTCAACTTCCCTGCAACTAGATATCACGCTGATCACATGATGCCTTTCCGCATAGGTTGTGACTCACATAGAACCGCAGCTATTTTTAGAATGTTGCGGTTGACAGACTTAATCCACTCTCGGGAATCGTTTGAGAAACTTAATCTACTATCGGAAGTCGGTTAAGTATTTACCCAACTCTTGAGCGCAATTTAAGCAACTTGGTCAAAGAAGGTTTCTTGCTGTAAAATCTGGCCTGAGACCTGTAGTATCTCACTAAATCATTGCAAGTACGCATCTCAATACCTTTACAAGAGCAGTCTAGCAGTGTCACAAAGTTCACAGCAACGAGTGGTCGCACAAGAGATATCTCAGTATTGATATACGAGGGCAAGGTGTCGGCAGCACAGGTTAAGCATGTATCACATTACAAGAAGATATTGTGTTATAATATACAAAAACTCAACAAAACAAAAAACTGAAAGAAAAAAGACATCCAGTAATGCTAAACGCGGGCAAAATGTCGGCAGCAAAGGCTAAGCATACATCACATCACAAGAAGATAGAGAGTATTATGCTATACGCAAACTCAACAGCAAACAGCAACTAAAAACTACCCTAAGAGTTCTCAACCGATCATTTTACCAACGAGCAAAGAAATTTAACGAGCCAGAACCTATGTTCCCGGAAGGCGCATTCAAGGAGCCGAAACCGGTGGCAAGAGAAGAGGCATCAAGTAGCCTGTACCGGTCTTCCACGGAACAGTACCAAGCAACCCAGGCAATACTCAACGGCCTAACGAGTTGGAAGGAGGTGGTGATGACTTCAGCGTTAATCAATTCGATGCCATGCTCAACCAGATCACTGAGATCAAGAGGTCTACGGCGAACCCCAGAATATTATACACGCAACAATAACTACACAAACCATGAAACCAAATAAAATGTAACAATGATGACTAATGCATTCTGTGGGTTCAACTCCACTGATGGCACTCCTTCCATTGTAGTACCTCAGATGGAACAGTTGCCGAGCGTCCCAGGAACATATCAACTCTATACCACACTGGACTTTATAAATCAAGTAAAAAGAGCGACTTGCATACCATCGTTCACAATGAATACACAGCCCACGGCCACAAGATCTTACGGGAGCTTCTCCATTATTTACCGTAAGTGGCATTAGTTTGAACCCGTTAAACCATTTCCTGTAATCAGACACACAACATTCAACAACCATATAAATTATAAACTCTTGTAAGATTCGGTCTATCAAGGTGATATTAACGCCTTAGAGTAATTAAACGCTTAGGTTAAGTCTAAGTAATTAAATTCGAAGTAAATAAACGAAATGAGTCTTTTAATAAAGTTTGGTATGCCTCATGAAAACAGCAATACTCTGTGGGATTGTGAGACTGAGACATTGCCTATATATAATCCTCTCCGTACTTTTTTCACCGAAGGGATTTTATTTAGTGTTTCATTGTCGCTCTAATAGAGACTTTGGTGTGTTTCGTTGGGGCGAATCCGAGAGACTCATAAAATCCTATCTTTAGAAAAAAAACAGAAAAAAAAACTCTTGATGTCCATAGTGATTGCATTAACCAATAACTTGCCACTTATCAAGAATTACCGACTTAGCCTTCATCAGACTGGTACATCTGGTTGGCTGGACGGAGGATAAACTAAGCAACGCTAATAGTCCTTAGAAACCTATGTTCGGTTGAGCCATCTCACTACCGAAGTATTCAGATTTAAATAGATTTGGAAGGTTAATATAGTTCTATTAATAGAACTAGACCAAATCTTATACTTAGTATTTTATTGGGGCTTTTTAATGGCCTTGTCCAGATATCTGATATGTAAAATGGAAAGGTTTTTAATTAATAGAAACCGTTAAAAACCATTTAAGAGTTTACGTACTTTTAAGAGTACGTTTGCGTACAATTAAGAGTACGTTTATATTACATGATTCTAATTTGGAGGCCCGGCTTTTACACAGCCCCCACCCAGCTTTGAGACCCAAGAGAAGCAAGTTGCTCACTCAAGCTGATTATGGGTCAAAAAAGCGAGAAAGGAAAACGGGTCGAAAACATTAAGTAGCATAACGTATAGTTAATGTTTTTCAGGCGGAGAAGTTAAGTGTTCTCGGTTACCCTGTGAGTTTTGGGTTTAGGTCCAGTAGGTCCTTGGTAGTCGATTGGACGTTTCTTACGCTTCAATGTTTTTGGAACATACGAAGGATGAGCAGTAAAGCTCGGGATAAATGCTGTTGGTGGGTAAGTTTTAATTTCCGTGCCTTCAGACGATGGGAACATGCTATCTTTTTCAGCCTGTGACTTATGTAGGCGTTTACGTCATTTTCTGTTAAAGGCCTTTAAATAGTCCTGATTGTCAAAAGCGTCTGAAGTCAACTCAGCGATTGTACCGTCTATAAAGCGTGTACGATAATATGTATATTCTCCTTTATCCGTTCTCCATATAATATCTTTGAATTCGGAGCGGTCAAGAGGTGCAGTAGAATCATGTCTTCTTGCGAAAATAATATCAGTAGTCGGAATTCGACTAGTGCCTATATTTAAAGCACTAGAATCGTCGGGGTTATTAACCTCATAGGTTCCACTTTTAGTGTCGGCTACAGAGATTACATATGGTCCTATCCATTTCGATGTTAATACAGAAGAATTACGTTGACGGATGTAAACTCTGTCTCCAACCTGACACTCTGCTATCTTTTTGGTAACATTCCATCTATTTTGCCTTTTTAATAAGGCCACATTACGTGTTTCTCACAAGCAAGGATATACAACGTTGTGTATGCGTTATACCTTCTCTAACCATGGTAACTCATGGTGATCAGGTTCGTCCTTGTTAAAGGGTATTTGTAACTCACTATATCTGCCACGAAAGTAGTGAGTCCTGTAACCGGATCAGCACACTCGTTCATCTGTGTTTGTACCCGCTTAAGGTGGTACGGCCAATCATCTGCATCATCCGTTAATGCAGTATGTAAGAAGAACTTAAGTCTTCTACGGCGCGTTTCATTAGCGTCTTGTGTTTGCGGTTTATTTGGTACAACCCTTTTATGGCACATGCCTGATACGAGCACTCACGATTCCATTACGTCATCGCAGAACTCGCTACCGTTATCAGTACACATGATACCTGGCCACCCGTGGTCAGCAAAGACTTGGCATCATAATTCTGCCACGGTCTGCGTACTCTTGTCCTTTAAAGGATAGAACAAGTTATACCGTGACGCCACATCAAAAAAGTGGCATACGTAACGGTCGCCTGTGTGCTCGGACGTAGGCAGGTCAACCAGATCAATGATGACCCTGCGCCATGGAACATCTTCAGTCACACTCTTAAGCGGTGCGAACCCATAGCTCTTAATCTGTTTGAGATCACAGTCTGTACATGACTGATATACTCTGTCAACTAAAGTTGCCAGCTTAGGGTGCGCGATCCCATTTCGCTTAGCATCTTTAAGTGAGCCTACTACGTTCTGGTGCTTCAGCTTATAGTTTTGCGTCAGCCAAGCAAGAGTGTTTTTATCATTCTGCTCCTCCAGAATAAAGGTAGGGTGTTGAGAATCCACTTGCATGGTCTCTAAGTCTGTAGTGTTTCTGGACTCCTGTCCTTCTTTCGCATGAGTGTCACGAGTGCGCTCGTGTGCGTTGGATACACCTGACCTATTTAATAGTCACATTATATGTGTATATACTTCGGGATTGTCTTTCATTAATCCCTTTAAAAATAGGGTTTGAAAGACTTCGGGCTTGGACTTTATGTTATTAAACAGAGTCCTAGCTAGAGACTGCCGCTTCCTAACTGTAGTGTCATTAGTAGATTGTATTTCTTGTGCACAGACTTCAAGTGCTGTGTTGCCTTTGAACTGCTTAACGTTCAATCTAGTGGAGAGTGGAATCTTCGATTCTTTGACCTTGTTAAGGAAGGTCTCAGAAGGGGTCCATTTGGTTGTTCCAATGGGACCTATACTACATAGTATAGTATGTCTCCAGGGCGTCTTTTGGACGGCTCGGGTACCCTGATTCCTATATTGGCTTGCATTGTATCATGCTTATTAATTTATTGAGCCATGGATCTTTACTCCGTAATGGGCAACACAACGAGAGGGTAGCTTTGTGTATATGAACATAATTTAGTAATTGGGCAATTAACTGCCATGGTGGATTGGCCCATGCATTATGTTTGGAGAGGTCTAGTTGAAAGGCATCTCCTAAAGGTTTAAAGTCCTGTAATTCTTAAGTTGTGCATTATGATGTGCAGCAAACATGTCAACTGTATGTGGCCCAAATATCTTTTGAGCCAGTTCAAACCACCTGGGGTTACATTTCCAATCAGTGGCTAGTACTCACGTACGTATTTATTAAGTCCGGTCCGAAGCGTGATAACATATCCGGCAAATGGTTATCTATCCCTGGTAGATGCTTGATATCAAAATGAAACTTTGATATAGTATCATGCCATCGGCTCAGTAATTGAGAGTCTGGCTTTATCTCCTTCATATATTGAAGTGACTTCTGATCACACATCAGCGTAAAAGCCGTTCCGTATAGGTAATCGCGGAAGTGTGTTAGAGCTGCTACTATGGCTAGTAGCTCTTGCTTCACAGTTGGATAATTCAATTGTGATGTATTCATTGCTCGGCTAAAAAAATGTATATACCTAGGTTTATTGTCTATAACCGGGTATGGTACACCTCCGAGTGCTAAGTCTGATGCGTCCGTTGCTATTTCAAAAGGCACGCCATCGACTGGTCCTTGTACAACAGGGGCTTGTTGGACTGCGTGCTTGAGCGCTTTAAATGCGCCATCACACTCTTTAGTTCACAAGTTTCCTAGTTTGCCTTTATGACATCTTAAGTGTCCAAAGGGTTTAAGATAATCAGCAAAGTGTGGTACTCCATCTGAAAAGAAGTTTACAAACCCCACACATACTGTTCATATCTCTTCCTGTAGTTGCTGTTCGCCAATCTAACAAGTGTTCCACCTTACCGGGGTCGATTCTAATACCTTCCCCAGATATACGATAGCCTAAGAGCTGTATTTCGCTCATGGCGAAGTGACATTTCTTCTCGTTAATCTTGAAATTTTGTTCGTTGAGTCTCTGAAGAACTCGCCTGACTAATGCGGCATGTTCGCCCTTAGTCTTAGAAAGATGACTATGTCATCTATATAGACTTGCACGTTAGGCATGTCTGCAAACATTTCCTCCATTACTTGTTGGAAGAATGCTGGTAAGGAGTGCAACCCGAAAAGGTGCACCTCTAAACCTGTATTGTTTACCTTTCCAGGTAAAACTAAAGTACTTACGATGGGGTTCATAAATTTGCATTTGATGATACCCCTGTGTTAGGTCTAGGGATGTAAACACCGTTGCACCTTCCATTCGTATCAGTAACTCGTTTATACGAGGGAGATGGAAACTATGAGTCGGCAATAACTTATTTATTGGGCTCATATCTAGACATACTCTGACTTTCTTAAATGTTCCGTCAGAGTTGTGTTGGTCAACTGTCAATAATGCTAAGTTAACTGGCGTTTGTCGGTAACTGATTTCGATTACTCCATCGGATAACCATTTCTCGACTTGTTCTTTAATTACAGCCTCGTGTCTCCAAGAAACATAGTTTCTTGAAGGACATTTGAGCTTAGTTAAGTCTACTTTGGTTAAGTCAAGGCTGACGTATCCGTCGTTAAAGTGGAATTTCGCCCAGTCGGTTGTTTTTATCTTCTTATTTACTAATATAAGATCCATTATCTTATCGGCAAAGCCAGGAACCAATTCCTTGACTGTGTCCGACGGTGGTGTGTATGGTTTTAGACAATTGTCGTCTGACTGGTCCTTTAATGGATCTGTGTTGTCGGGTAAGCCTGTTACGGTTATCCCTAACGTGAGCAAATCGCTCATTCCGACTATAAAGTCGTACTTCTGTGACATCTTAACGATCACATCTTGGGTAGTGATATTTCTATCATCGGCCAGTGAGATTTTAACATCTGTGGCCATGGTATCACATTTAAAAGTTTTATCATATGCTAAAATTAGGTGAGTGGTTTGAGTTCGCCTTTCAATGTCTTTCATTAATGCAAAGCGGTCGGATATACATGAAATTTCTGAACCAGGATCAACCAATGCAAGGACTTTATTTCCGTTGCAATATACAGGGATTATTACACGCTCATCTAAGGAGTCGTTGTATTTTCTTTGTAACGATTATACCTGGTAGTACTTTCACTCCAACTTAATGTTGAGCTTTTTGTCGCAAGACTTGGCCTGATAGCCATTGGTCTTCTCACACTTTGTCACACTTAGTAAGAAAGTGTGTACAGGTGGGTGCATGTCTTCAATTCCAATAACCGTTAGGGGTCAATTGGTACATGTCATACCCACACTGTGCGTCGGCACATTTCTTAATCTCCTTATATGGAGGTTCCTTGTCCTTCGGCTCCGCGCGTGCCCATTTATTGGGTCCCGTTGATTGAGTAGAGTCGCGAGCACGTGTCTGGTTAGGACGCGTCTGATGAGGCTTATCATCTGACGTCTGACGTGAGAGGTATCCTTGATCAGGGAGCTCGCGCGGTTTCTTATTTACCGCCTTTCCCTTCGAGGTTACTAAAAGAGTGAATTTAGTATCATAAAATTGTTCCCACGTAAGTCGGGAAAGATAAAACCTTGTTTCATGTCCCTTGTCTCGAGCCTCAGTTGCGTACTTACGTCGCAACTCGGTGTACAGACTTTCACGGTCGTTATTCCCTATATTTTTACAGAAAACATGCATAACCAGGAACTCGTACCATCGCTGGGCCTTGTCCTTTGTTATATCTGGACGTTTTAGGTTAACATCAAGTTTCAGAATGTAACTCTGAATAGCAGTATTCTCAACTAGTTCAGTTAAGATGGAACCCAGTTCTGGACTGCGCATGTCCTTGCTTAATAAGGACGTAACCAACTAACACACAGCTGGCCAGTCACGACAAGTGTCTAGCTCATGCTGGTGTCGCTGCAGGATCAAGTAACTTGTTCCTGTAGGGTCAAATGACTGCATTAAAGCAGAAATCTATTGCTGGGGAGTGATATCATTCGTCTCCAGCATGACCGTAAACGCAATAAGCGTCCGGGTTAGCGTGTCGAGGTCATGATTGTTAATAAACTCGGCCTGCTTGCTGTTGGCATTCCAGTTCGACTTAAGTCGACTGATGTGTCCCATGTACTTCTGGTTGTCCCGGTGATCTTGTCCACGTTGGGCCTGGAGCAGCTGATCGTTGCGCTTCTGCTTGATCGCGATCATATTAGCAAAATATGATACGTCATCAGCACAGTGCTCGTCATGGGCGATTTCCATTTTAATGGTGTAATCGTCGACCGATTTATTAAGCTCGGTCACCACGTCAGAGTGAAAATCCTCTGCAGGTTGGTGTAAGGCGGTGCAATCGAAGCGATTAAATTCAACATCGTTAACACGTTTACGGGAGTGTTTTTTACTGGTTTCCGACGATTGTCATCCCAGTTGGGTAAAGGTGGCGGAGTATTTTTACCTGTCTCTGGGTCTATAATACTCTTGTAGTCAGGAAGTCCCTGATAGGGTTTATTTAAGATTAGGGTTTATTTGATATTTAGGTTTTTATCGGAGACTACATTTTGAACTGGGTTTATCCAATCTGGTTAAAACTGGTTTACGGAAAACACATGATCAAAATGATAGTCATAGGATTTAGTTCAATAAATGAACAACGTCTCCCCTTATACGAGGGGAGTACGTTGAGATACAGTTATCCTCGATTACTTACGACACCCTCAAGGACGGGCGACTCATGGCCGGGCGTTAGAACGGGCGAATAATTGGCCTGGAGTTATGGTGGTAGTACCTCCGGCTTCTCTCTCCATCTTTTTACGTTCGGCCTTGCGTTTCTTTGCAGACGTATTGTGTTTCTTTGTCATAATCTTGTGACTTCAGTCTTATTCTATTAAGTGATATTAGGACGGGCGACTCATGGCCGGGCGTTAGAACAGGCGAATAATTAGCCTGGAGTTATGGTGGTAGTACCTCCGGCTTCTCTCTCCATCTTTTTACGTTCGGCCTTGCGTTTCTTTGCAGTCGTATTGTGTTTCTTTGTCATAATCTTGTGACTTCAGTCTTATTCTATTAAGGAATGATATTAACGCCTTAGAGTAATTAAACGCTTAGGTTAAGTCTAAGTATAATTAAATTCGAAGTAAATAAAAAAAATGAGTCTTTTAGTAAAGTTTGGTATGCCTCATGAAAACAGCAATACTCTGAGGGATTGTGAGGCTGAGACATTGCCTATACATAATCTTCTCAGTACTGTTTTCGCCGAAGGGATTTTATTTAGTGGTTCGTTGTCGCTCTAATAGAAACTATGGTATGTTTCGTTGGGGCGAATCCGAGAGACTCATAAAATCCTATCTTTAAAAGAAAGGAAAAAAATACTCTTGATGTCCATAGTTATTGCATTAACCAATAACTTGCCACTTTTCACGAATTACCGACTTAGCCTTCATTAGACTGGCACATCTAGGTGGCTGAACGGAGGATAAACTAAGCAACGCTAATAGTCCTTAGAGACCTATGTTCGGTTGAGCCATCTCGCTACCAAAGTATTCAGATATAGATAGATTTGGAAGGTTAATATAATTCTATTAATAGAACTAGACCAAATCATATATTTGGTATTTTACTGGGGCTTTTTAATGGCCTTGTCCAAATATCTGATATGTAAAATGGAAAGGTATTTAATTAATAAAAACCGTTAAAACCATTCAAGAAAAACTTAAGTTTACGTACTTTTAAGAGTACGTTTTACGTACTATTAAGAGTACGTTTATATTACATGATTCTAATGTGGAGGTCCGGCTTTTACACTGTGCTCCTGTACAGTGATGACTGGCCCAGCCCTAGATAGACAAAAATATGAAGTTGTCCCATGCGTATAGCGGGTAAGTTCAGAACTTGTATAATCCGGTGGGCACCTGACAAAATTTGTCGTGAGTTCCTCTCAATCGTACAATGGTCCGTATCTTAGGGGCTTAGAGGTCAAGGGTTCAGGTGCTCAGGGCTAGCTGGGCTGGCTTGGCTGGGCTGGGCTGGGCTGGGCTGGTTGGCTGGGCTGGGCTGGGCTGGGCTGGTTGGCTGGGCTGGGCTGGGTGGCTGGGCGGCTGGGCTGGGTGGCTGGGTGGCTGGGCTGGGTGGCTAGGCTGGTTGAGTTACTGGGGAGTAGTATAGGTTGGTAGCACGAGAGTAGAGTGACCTGATAAGTTGTTAGAGTGCGATGTGGGGGACTAATAGTAAAGTGGTAGTGTATCTAAAGTATGGTGCATTCGAATGAATTTATTTATGATCTCACCGACAGTTATATGCTGATGGTGTTAGTACTAGTGTTCAACCACTTGGGTTGGCCAGGGTAAAAACTGAAACCTTATGCAGAACACTTTAGCACTGGGATATATTTTCAAGAAATAAATATATCATATTCTCTGTTACTACACTCTCAGTCTCGGACCTCGGCTCTCGGCTAGCCGGTGGCCCATATTCTATAAATAGAATAATATGAAAAGAAGTCTCAAATCACTCTTACAGACCGTGATCCACGTGGATACATTTACCTTGATTACATGCGCCAAATTGGTTGGTAGACAAAGCTAGGAACTGTGCCTTGATGTTTGTTGAGGTCCACCTCATCGCGGGCGTATTCGTCAAATACAAAGATGATTCCTGCTATGGCCTGGTACCGGATTTTGAGAACGCTGCAAATCTGAAGGATATTTTCGCTTCTCAAATTCCTGGTCAGCAAGATTATACACGTTCTGCGATGTAATTTGTTTTAAGAGATGGCACGTCTGATATTGACAGCATGTGCGTATATATCGAATCACTTTAATTAGCTCAGTATTTTATGCATTACAGGCCCAGGGATTCCAAATCAACCTAACTATTTGCGAAGGGTACCTTGGCCAATTAAAAAGTTCGTCAAGGTGTTGATAGAATCGAATGGCAGAGATGTTAATTCGAGTCAGGTGCGGGCTCCGTACTGCATACACCCCCCTACGTAGCACTCAATAAGTGTGCTTCTGTATATGTAGAAGCCATGAGTTCAAAAGTCTGCGGAATGCACTAAGTGCTATACTTGGATGGTCAGTACAGACAGAAAGACAGTGCAATCGTCTGGGATCCAATAGTGTCACTATTGTTAGAGTGTAATGTAGTAGAGTTTAGATAAAGTGCAAATGGATGTATTGATTTCTGTCCTCACCTTTAGTTTTATACCTAAGGTGTTTGTGCCAGTGTTCAGCCGCTTGGGCTGGCCGGGGTAAAATCCCATATGGGCAGTATATGATTTAAAACCTCATCTGGGCAGTATACTTTAAATCTTCGATGCTATTATATTTCGACTTCTCTGCAACTACATCTCACGCTAATCACATTATGCCCTTCCGCATAGGTTGTGACCCATATTGGGAAGCAGCTATTTTTAGGGTGTTGCGGTTGACAGATTTAATCCACTCTAGGGAGTCGGTTGAGAAACTTAATTAGCTCTCGGGAGTCGGTTAAGTATTAACCGAACTCTCGGGAGTATTTTAACAACTGATTAGCTCTCGGGAGGGAGCTAAATCTGACGACTTTATAAATCAAAAAGGATTTCTTGCTGTAAAGTCTGGTCTAGGACCTGTAGTCTCTCAACTATATCACAATGCCAGACGAGACCAACTTGATGAGAGATATAAAGCAAAGTGATTCAGACTCACAATTGCACACGTATACCCGGACAATCGATAAGTCCATTTGTATTAGTCGAAATATATAATCGATAACAAAATGCCTGTCTTTGGAGGGATACGGGGGAACAATCATGGTGTGTGGGCTAAAATGTACACTGGGTAGTTATTGCATGTTGCTTTGTGTGCACACCAAAAAAACGGATAAAGCTTGAGATTCGATGCCTTGCGTATATCAAAAACACAATGATATAATACAACTTACAGGGAGAATATTAAGGTGCCCCTGGCCCTCGACATGATCGCCCCGTAGGTATAGAATGGAAACTGTGACGAATACCCGGCCACGGCTCTTTATCTGAAAGTTTTGCATACAATGTTTAGTGTCCTCCTGGGACACCCCAATAGCCAAGGCGACGTTGAGGAGAATGAGTGATACTAGAGAATAGTCTGAAATCCTTCGACGAGTGGGAGGAAAGGAGAGAGCATGCACGCTGGGAGAAGTGTTTGACAAGATAACGGATGATATCGACATCGCTGGGTTAGCTTCCTTAAAGGATCAGAAAAAGGATCGATTTCTGTATCTTAGTCACTTATGGCAATATGCGTACAACCATACAAGGTGTAATACAATATTTGCGCATGTATTTTAGTGACCCTGCGTTGGATGGACGCGACCACAAGATATTCCAAAAAAAAAGTATATTCACGCAAAACATCTTGGAGAACTACTTTTCACAGTTGCGACAACGTGCGGGTAGTGATACCCTAGATGCACGCGCATTCAAATTCCCAGACGCAATAACTTAGGCAATTGCTGGTGTATAGGTCAGAGCAACAAAAGGTACAAACTGTGTGGAAAGGTGTAAGCCACCGCAGCAAACAGCTCGCGAGGATGCTACATAACAGGACCGCAAGCCCAAGTGAAAAACACCAACAACAGATCAACCCATTACTACAACACTCAGTAGAAAATATAATCACTCAAGCGAGATATAAAATAAGGTCTGTGGTTCATCCACTTTATTCTGAAGTCTGTCGGTATTGTATTTACAAGGAAAGTCTCTGGTATCTAGTGGACCCTCATGTACTTCAGGCCTGTGCGTGTGTGCTTATTAAGATCTAGCTTATTTAACAGGAAGTCAAGAGTCGCAGTGCGCTCTTACCCTGCCATGATAATCATAGCAACACTCATGAACTTTTGGTATACCACAACAGTATCATCAGGTTCGATCTCTGGTATGATCTCTTGCATATCGGATATGTAGCACTTGATGATCTCTGCAGGTCTCATTTCATACGTGTACGAAGCTCGCCAGATCTTGAAGCATGAAGGGCCTGTTAAAGCAAAGCCATCCCGAACTAGCTTCGTATAGCGTTGCCAGGCGCTTGCAAAATATCGAAGAGCTGGGTGCAGATAACGGTAAACTCTATCGTCCACGATGAAGCGGTAGAAGTTTTCGTTTAAGGTACTGGTGGGTATCGGGATCCTGCTAATAACATGCAATGATAGTCGTTGTTAGAGTAATACTTAGTCATGCAAACTACCAAGACGATGGCTCTGAATGGATCTCAAAGTATATACTACCTGTCATGCCACTTGCGGAACAGTTCATTCTTGTTGACTGTTAGTCGATGGATGATCTCCCCTAAGCGAAGTCGTTCCATGTTCTTATCTCGTCCATTCATATAATATACGAGCACCTTATGAGCCCGAAGCAGATAGAAGCACACTCTTTTGACTGCATTTTTAAGTGAGCGGACTACAGTATTGCTGCACAACGTTCTTTACAGGCTAAGTTAACTAAAATCAAATTAGTTAGATAATTCTAATTTTTTCTCCCCACGATGAATGGACCTACTACGATATCGGTACCTGAGGTGGGCACGAAGCCCTGTGATCGACTATTGAAATGACTGTTTGGAGTTCATCGACAACTCCCTTTGATATGTGCTAATGTTGAGAAAGTGTTTTCCGCCGATCCAACACCGGATGAAGAAGTTAAGGCAGAAATCCATATTCGCAAGCACGAATTAGTCTCTGAGGCTCAACACTCATTTCTACGTTGGATATGGCCAACAACGTATTAAATGGATTCCTGACCGGGATGGAAACTTGAGGATTAGCGCATGTACAGGAAGCTACGAAGACTATTTGGGTAATTCGGCTACAACTTCGCAAACGAAGGACGCTGATTTTAATCATAAGTATGTCACTGTCCAGAGGGCGTCGGAGCGTAATCAATTTCTGCAACAGATGGCACAACCAACAGCCACGCGTTGGGCTCCTCAATACCTAATGCAGGCGTGGACGATACCAAATTTGCAATCTACCTAGCAACGTTGCTAGAGATATGTAGCAAATCAGACCAGTGAAGTGCAGAATTGATCGCACGAAGCGTGTCTATCATGATCGATTGGCATATACTACCTCTTGGAGTGTCCGTTCACCGTTAAATAAAAAAGCGACACTCAATGTGCTCCATCCCAGTTGAGTACAACAAATATGGAAGGCTCATGTTCGGATTTTGTTCATTCCAAATACACACAAGCGCAGTAAAAATGCGCGAAGTGTTTCGTGTGGGCATTTTTATAACGATCACTGTAGATTCTGGGAGGTTCACGTTCACATTCACGCTTGCGTTTCGATGCGAACACACAAACTATCCTGCATGCGTCACCAGTATTGAATCCTCCTGTTCGGTGCAGATCATTCGAGGTTTTTAACGGGTAAACAGAATCCATCCATCCATCTATATACCTGTGAACTGTTGTTTCCTCTAAAATGCAAACAAGTTAAAAATGATGTACTGGATCTGTTCTGAATATCATATGGAATACTATCATACATGTTCGAAGGTACAGTTTCTGCACGTAGTACTAACATCATTTCTCTAGACGTTGACTGTGCTACACAAAACTTGTCAACCGCTTTCGGCATAAAAATGCGAGTCCGCAGAGCAAAGCTGTGGCAAAATACTCAAACCCCGTAATAAGTGCATAGCTTGTCCGTAAGGAGACCAGTCGCAATTGTTCATAATTACACTCCCAGCCAATACACAGAGAATAAAAGCGGACCGAAATTCTACCGAAAATCTAAGCGACCTTATATTGGTCTGGACTGGAAACCTATTCCTCTCGAGCTGGCATAATTCAAGTTCAAGTTATTGTGTGTATTGAAACTATTTATTTGGTGGAGTGAGAAGTATTCTCCATCGCTGCTATGATTCCTTCGTAATCTCTTCGGAGCCCAGCGGCTGTGCTGGTGACGACATGCTCCGTTCATCGTCCAAGGTCATGTCCGGCCCTAAATTATAATTGGGTCCCATATTTTGGCCCACAGTTGGGGATGTGCCGCTGTCGACTGAAGATTTTGGTTCATATTCAGGTGACTTTGTGATCATCTCAAAGTCCTGATTTTCAGCACTGAGACCAGGCGCTAGCGCTGTTTGGCGCCCTGCGATTTCTTCCGCCTGATGGGCTAAGCCCAACCCCTGTCTATTTATAGATTCGTAGCTGTCCATATTCTCAACAATAGGTGCGGGTACTTGAAGGTTTTGGGGCACCTTGACCTCGTCATCCGATATCGGCGCTTCAAGCTGCGAGTGAAAATACTCTTGTTCAGTTTATTGCACAACGAACATTCATGGTAACACACGCACGTGTGATTCTGGCTTACAGACGGAAGTACATCTATAGTCATTTATGGGCTTCGTATTAGGATGGTTAGAAAAACGACAGAAAACAGTTGCTACAATGTAGAACATTGCGAATATGCCACGAGGCGGAAAACAACAACAACACATTACATTGGTGTCCTACAGAATGCTGGATAGGAACAAATAAGCTTCCGATCTTATTAGTGCATCAGAACATGCCACTATCTGTAAGAGAGAAAATGTGAATGTTAAAACTATATTTGTTTTGCATGTGTGTATTTAAGTAATCGTGTCTTTGGAAGTAGCTTCAAATATACAATTTCCGAGTTTAACTACTGAGCCTATCATGATCGATTGGCAGATACTAGTTTTAACACCAGATTTCAATAAATAAATAAACCTCTTGGAGTGTCCGTTCACCGTTAAATCGGACCGTTAAATCAGAAAGCGACACTCAGTGTGCTCCATCCCAGTCGAGTACAACAAATATGGAAGGCTCATGTTCGGATTTTTTTCATTCCAAGGCGCAGTAAAATCGAATACATTGACATCCACACATGCTCAGGATATATCCACACACTTGAGACGCACAGATTAAAACGATACAAATATAGTCAACCTGGGAAAGTAAATGGGGTCAAATTGGTGAAATAAATATAAACAAGCCACTTACCGATGGCTTCCTGCCGAATGAGAAAAGGGCTTTAAACTGCGCCTTGTGCGTGAAACCCCATGAGGCAAAGAGCGCGACGGCATGGAAGATCAACGGGTAAAAGCATAGCACAACTATGTTGGTGAACCTTGATGTACAGAGATAAGTGTGTTAGTAATTGTAAGCTATCCAATGGTGGCCGGGGCCCAATCTCCCTTTCGTAGTTAATACGCCCACATGAGAATGATTCCTACCCTACATTCACCTTCATAGATAAAGAGATCATCGGAGAGAGCTCAGCAAGGCAATGACTGTAAATCTGCTAAACGTATTACTGACAAGTGGGCAGGATCTATAATACACGAAATAGCAAACATCATAGCTGGCGGATCGTATGTAGGACGTAAATTTATCCAGGGGACACCTTACTGGGTTCATTCGTTAGCGTGGCGACATAGTGAAAACTCCTAAACTCTAAAACTTCAAAGCCACCACCACACGTTCTGAGATATATGCCGGAGTTTATATATATATATCCATACATACATATATACATACATATATATATATATATATATATATATATAGATATAGATATATATAAATATATATATAGATATATAGATATGTACATATATATATATATATATATATGCATCGATGTGGTTAGAGGAGTTCTTTTCTACGTTGCGTAGGTATGTACACATGTTGTGTGTCAACTATACACCCGTGAAGCAACGCGTTAATGACAACTTCACACCGAAGAAGCTCACACATCGCTTTAAACCATATCTTGTGCACGTAGGATGCTCACCTGTTGAGTGTTTCATCGACTTTGATATAATCACCAATGACAGTGACAGTGGCTCCGTCAACTGTTGCTGAGTCGCTCTGGTATTGGTTCTCGTTAAGGGCCTCGAACGAGTATTTATAGAAGGAGAGGTAGTATAGCCATATTAGGAAACTGGGGATCACATTCGGCGGGATGAAGAAACCGGCAAATGTTCCTGCGCAAATGATAACATGTGCAATTATCAGCAAATCGGCGGATGTCATTCAAAAAGCGCTTTGTAAGCGCTTTCGTTGATCGACTCAGGGTTATTTTAAAACCCTCAATACATATATCACCTTAACAAATAGAACACTTTCTGAGGTAGGTAACTATTGAGTAGGTAGCTATTGAGACTTTGGTATATACGATAGCGAAAGTGGAATAACACCCGTTGGGAAATGGATGCTATAAAAAGAAGATACTACGACAGGGGATAGGGATGGGAAAAAGAGCGGCTATAGCGACAATGGTCAATACATGGACACCGCACGTATATACAACATACACACCTCTCCAAATAAAACCCTATACCCTATTCTAGGCTTGCTGAGATGTAGAAAATCAGTCTCCACTTTCACACAAATTGTAGTGCAGTGATAGAGAAAAAAAAAAGAAGAATAAGTTGGACACAAACAACGATGGGACTAAAACCCTAAAACATTGCGGCAGTAGCCATTACTAAGAACACTTCTGTCATTGGTAGGGATCAGACCAGGGATGTATATATATCGTAGAAACAACCAATCGTAATCGAATACACCCCATAACATATAACGAATTTTTTTGCATGTGCATACGAGTAGAGTGTTGTATTTCTTTGGTGTTGCGTTGAGATAACTTACCCATCATTCCAGCAACAGTAGAGTGTATGGCACCAGCCCCTTCCACCTCAGGAATAGCACACACTAGCAACAGCGCCAGCGACGATCCAATAGACGAGAGCACCGCCATAATGAACATGAATACAAACACACGGTCGGCTGTAAAGGAACATGAACAATGATGGTAATTAATGTGAAAGTACATATACACCTATATACACCTATATATACATATATATATATATATATAAATATATAACATATCCACATACAGATATACATTTACACATATACACAGATATATATATATACATACATACATACTATATATATATATATATATATATATATATATATATACTATATATATATATAGTAG